TTCCATAGAAATCCATCAGGAAGTCTGCACACAACAATTAATGCTTCGACATTTGGCAGGAGGCCACGAAGGAGACAAAAAAGGAGATGTATAGTCGACAAACAAAGATGCTACAGTGCTTCAGAAAACTGAAGAGCAATAGTCTAAGATAGTCAGATGCGTAAAGAGACGTACATTTTTGTTCAAAAACTACTGATTAAACCGCATCGTTCGCTCTAAAATAATAATAATAATAGGCTTAGCGAACCTGAAGGTTCGATGCCGACACCACTAATCGCTTATTACACGCCTCCCTCCACCATTCACCGTCCAAACCTAGTCTCTTCAGATCGGCTTTAATGCAATCTTCCCACCTTCGCTTCGGTCTACCCCTCGGACGCTTACCATTCAGCACAGCAAATATTAACCTTTTAGGAATTCTCTCGTTACTAAGCCCAACAACTTTACAAGTCCATTTGATTCGCCGTGATGAAATTACCTCAATTATATTACCCGTATTAAGTTTACGCAATTCGACGTTGTATAACCGTCTGAACTCTCCGGTTAACTCATCCTTCTTCGGTCCGAATATTCTACGCAATACTTTATTTTCAAAAACCTTAAGACGCTGCACATCCCTTAATGTAAGCGGCCAAGTTTCGCATCCATAAAGAACTGTAGGCAAGATAATTGTTTTATAGATTCTAATTTTTAAGTTCCGGGACAAGAGGCGCGAACTAAGTAGTTTTGCCACAGAAAAATAACAAGCATTTTCCGCCTTCAGTCTAACCTTAATCTCTTCTTCAATTTCGTTTTTTCTAGTTATCTTAGAACCTAGATACCTAAATTACGCTCTAAAATATATTTAAAAAATTGTCGACAAGAGATGGATAAGCAATGCAATTATAAGCAAATATATGGCATTAGTATAAGCAAATGAACAAAAAAATATTATTGTAAGATCTCGATTGGGGTGACATTAAGTCGACAACTGACAGGTTCTTCCCTGTTCCTGACAACTGGAAAGCTGTCCAAGTGACAGGAAAAAAAAACCGTGTCGACTGCTCACATCACCCAATGGCGGATCTTGGTGCACTATCGATTGGACATATCGAACGGTGGAGGACCACCCTTGTTCCGATGACCGGAAGGAGACCACGTGCCTAGCGCGCGCGCCACTTCCTCCCAACCCCCGCGGTCCTACCCCTTTTTTACGCCATCGGTGTGGGTTTCACCGTCTTCATCAGTCCCACCTGGGTCCATAGTCTTCCGTTTCTTCGCCTATTGTATCCAGGCCTCGAAGCGGAAGGGAATCTAATGGTTTAATAATTGGTTCGGAACCAGTAGGAATATAACAATAGTACTTGGTAAATTGTTACCGGAAGTAACCCCTATCGTAATTCATTAGGAAGGATGCGAAAAAATGGTGGAAAATCGATGATTGATCCGATAACGTTTCGACAATTTCCACACCTATAATTATATTTAATATGCTCTGAATACATCTGAAATCTTCTGTAGTTTAAGAGGTAATTCTTCCTTGGTTTTACCATTCCGAACCATTCTATTTAATTTTTCTTTCAGATTTTGTGAAAGATCCAAATTTGTCCTTATAGTTTTGAAAGGCACTATTGTAAACCGTGTTTGACTGTTCGTGAACATTACAAATCTTACAGGTTTGGGGTTCTTGTCCTGTTAGTAAATAGATATATAGTATTCTGCCAATGCATAATCCCTAATCAATAGAGTTTCTTCATTCCCCGAAGGATCGGTCAAAAGTCCACTAATTAGAACGGTGTTTTGTTATTATCTTTAATCAAGATTCATTTTCTTACAATTTATTCAGCCATATATTCCACACATCCTTCTTTTTTTTTGGGAATAGGTCTTTTAAAGGAGCTTTGTTAACTGATACGACCTTTGTTCCTGACTTTCTTAGTGTATTGGCTGCTTGCGACTTCCTCTTGTTTAGAATGCTAAGTTTGAAAATTACATCAAATAAATCTATATTTTTATTAAAAATAAACGTACGCACAATACCTAAGAAATATAAATAATAAAGAATGTCGGATCTGTTTGTCCAGATAAATAATAAGAAAAATACGAAAACATTTGTTTATTTATTAATTTATGAAATTAATAAATTGAAATTCATCTAGTAAACGTGAAAAATAGTAATATAGTGACATGAGAATACTTGTAGAGAAACCACCCATTACTCTAATAAAATTTCTAGATCAGTAAATCACGAGGTCATCTTCTTTTCAGACGCCTCGGAGAGGGATCAGGGATAGAAGAGGAAAACAGATTAGAGGCTAGAGAATTCGGATGGTCATATATATATATATTTTATCCCCACACATCCCGATTCCCGATTTTAAAGTACGGGGTAGGGTCATCAATCCTACGCCCGGTCGGTGCGAGTTGCCTGCAGTTGTCTGACGGGGCTCACATACCCGGGGGAAGGAATCCAAGTGCTAGCCACGCTCGGCGTTGCTTAACTTTGATTATCTATTGCAAGCGCCTGAGCCCGCAAGGCTACCCTAGCACCCTATATATATATATATATATATATATATATATATATATATATATATATATATATAACTCTCTTATAATTAATTGGAAGCTTAGAGTGTTTGTCTATTAAGTGTTGGAGTAAGCGAAAACGCCGAGCAAATTCTAGTGTTCTTAGTTCTAGCAAATTCAGTCTTGTATGCGAATTCGAAGTGAGACGTTTGTCCAGGTGGAGTACTTGATATGGGATTTGTCTAACAGATGGAGAAGGATACTAAAGGATACTGTAGGACGGAAAGTATATAGGTCGAGAAGGGTACAGATGATTTCATGAGATTTATTTTATCCTCCAGTTTTGGCACTATTCTTCGAAGCTTGTGATGTGTGATTGAATAGTACGCGATGCGATTGATGGGTCGTTATTAAGGACCCTTGTCCTTGTGTCATCGGCATGCGTTGTGATGACAGTGTTAGGATGGCTTGGGATATCAGCAGTATAAACTGTGTAAAGGATTGGACCAAGGATACAACCTTGAGGACGAAAAAAATTACTTTTTTCTAAATTACATTAATAACTCTGTTCATCTATATCCAAAATAAAATAATTAAAAAGTCCCTATGATTCAAAGTTTCAATGTAAAAATGTGGGATCCATTGACAAAGAGGAAAACACAAAAATAAAATTTATATTTCTTTTTTGGATTCCGAAGTTCTAGGACGTATGGATTAAAAGAGATCTATATTTTTTAAAAGTTTATTTTCATAGTTCCTTTTCTGCAAATAACACCCATCAACATAATTCAACAACGGAAACAACCTAGATAATCAAATCATAGCAAGCAAACCAAGCTTCTTCCAACTGTTCCTTGTAAAAGCAATAATCATAAACATAAAAGCAATATATACCTTTCGCATAACAAAGAGAATACGTTCCACCTCATCATAACAATGGAAGCTGATGTTTTTTTCCGTACCAACGGTCCCGGAATATTAAAAGCACATGTTATTTCCGCCAAAGAAAATTGAGCGGAAGATGTATAATTACTAGTAATAAATTCAGATGGGTATATGGCCTTCAATAAATCATCCGCAGCATACAAATAAATTCACACCTCTGGTATCGCATATCCATATCTATTTACTATGTACCCAATACATCATAACTGTCTACTGAAGAGAAGAATAGTTGGGGTGATCCGTCAAATAAGAAGACAAAAATAAATGATACTATTTATTTTGACATTAGCCGACGTTTCGACCTGAAGTTCAGGCCATCATCAGGGCTAAGAAAAGAACCAGATGACAAGGTATGAGAAACATAAGTAGTGTAGGTAATAAAATTAAATTAATAATTAAATTTTTAAAATGAAATTAATTAATTTTAAAAAATTAAATAATTACTTTTAAAAATTAAATTTTTTAGGTAAAAAATTAATTTTTTTTACTTACACTACTTATGTTTCTTATACCTTGTTATCTGGTTCTTTTCTTAGCCCTGATGATGGCCTGAACTTCAGGTCGAAACGTCGGCTAATGTCAAAATAAATAGTATCATTTATTTTTGCCTTCTTATTTAACTGATCCCCCAACTATTCTTCTCTTCACTATTCACGACAGTCAACCATTTACCAATTATAAACATAACTGTCTATATTTGCTGGATTATTAGTATGTTGCTGAAATGTCCATTCCACTGGCATTGAATAGTTATGAATTCCAAAATATTTAACAAATAATGGGTCATTTGTAAAATATCATAAAACATATATATACAATACTTGGGCGAAACGCCCCTGTATACTCCAGTGTTGAGTAACCACACTATCCCAACTACTTCAAGTGGCTGGAATAATGGTTTCCTCTGAGGCTTTTTTTACCATGTTTACTTCCCGATTTTACACAGAAATTGTATCATACATCATATTTATATCTTCTTAACTCGTGTAGTTCAAATCCGATTTCAATACTATTCTTCATAAAATTGAAAAATAGCGTTTGGCATCTTTTTTAAATTCATCCTTATGAAAGTCTAATCTACTCTACGTCCTAAATGCTCCTTTTTTTCTACGCTAGAGTCCTTCACTTTGTTTTTTATCAGCTTCAAGTATATTTTTTTTTTATATTTTGTATATTTTATTCGATATGTATTCCAACTAATTGGTCCACATTGTAAAATTTAGATTTAGTGGACATCAGACCAAGAGTGAATAATATTATATTCAAGAACAAAATATTTTATTTCAGCCTGAATGTACAAAGCTTCAATGGTTTGGCCATGCAAGGAAAGGAGACTACACATGGCCAAAAAATGTTTTCCTTAACAAGACAGAGTATATAAAGAAGAAAGGATGGCCAAGGAAGATATGAGTGTAAAAGATGTAAAAAGGGAATGGCAGGAAGAGGATTGCGAGAGGAGCATTGTTTGATAGGAAAGTATGGCGAGAGAAAGTTCTAGATCATGAAATATTTTAGTTTTGCGTAGACATCGTTTCAGTACATTGTCCCATCAGTTCAGATCCAAAACAAACAACTTTGCCTCTTTTCGGACAAGGGATGGTGAGGATGTCAGAATTTCGCAGATGTTTCTGAAATGTAAAGCTGAAGTTCTGCTAAGATGAAAGGAGGGGAGAAGCCATCGACACCTGAAGAGCCTGAAGGACCATAGATGACTAAATTGTAAAAGGTTGGTTATTTGGACAAGAGCTGCTAATATCGGCCCTAGGAGGTTGCAGGGATTTAACGCTGAGGAAACAGCTGCCGGAGCGCATCTGCCAGCAGCAACAGGCTGCACCTTACACGCTCGGCATCTGCCAGAACAACCTGGCCCAAGATTCGGCAGCAGCCTTCTTCGTCCGGGCTAGGCTTACAAGGTGTTCTTACTTCTTCTCTTCCGCCAACTGTGGAGAATAATTTTCGTGACCTGAGTCCTGCCACAGTTCCAAAGCATGGGAGCATGTTCCTAGCCCAGGCAAAAATATATTTCAACTGCTTCACATCATAACAGAACAGAGTAGGAAAAGCTACGAATAAAAATGGTGTAGAGGCAAATAAATATTAATTATAGCCATTAGACCTGTTAAAATAAATTTTTATTAAAAATATAATTTTTTTTTTTTTTTTTTTTTTTTTTTGTCCTCCCCTTCCTCTCCTGGGATTGTGGGCGGGGATTTAAAAACACCTTCGGGCACCGAGACGCGAACTCGTGACTATTTTTTTATCAAAGTCTTATGTATCAGGTTGCCGGGCAACGGCGGTGCAGTGTGCAGACGCGTTAGCCCATTCGGCCACCCCGCCCACCTCAAAAAAATATAAGTTAAAAAATACGTGCACAGTAATCAGAGATATATTAAAAAAAAAAAATAAAAGATGACTAATAATATAACAATATGTTATATCATCCCCCCGATCAAAATTCGACATGCCCCTTCCCTATACACATTCAAAAACCTCCTATTCCAATTCCTGTTCCAAAAACAGTCAGATAACAGCTAACTATTAATATTATATATGTATTGTGTAGCAATCATATTATCATAATACTTGATACTAGAGATAGTACATGCATTTCCTACTATCGACGTATGAATTTCAATACATACATTTTTTTTTTTTATTCAATTATAATTAACTGTTTATTTATATATATATATATTTCTATTTTATTTTATAAAATGAATTCACTGTATCTCTTTTTCGTTCTTCATTTCTCAAAGTGTATGTTTATGTTGTTCAACCCTTATATATAATTTCGTTCATAGTTCAAGTGATTCGTTCATAGTTTTAATTGTTTTGTTCATAATTTTAAATGATCTGTACATAGTTTTATCTGTATTGTATATAGCTTGTGCACCTAAGGTTTTCTTTACTTTTTATTTTATTTTATCAATTTTATTTATTGTTTTAAACGTACAGGCCAGTAATATTCTATTATTTTGTACATTATTATTATTCTGAAGGGACTTAGTCCCAGAATAAAGTTTTTTTTCTATCTATCTATATATCTATCTATGTTAACAAAATAAAATATTACATAAATAAGACGGAAAAGGAAAAGGAACTTAATTTTTAAAGCAAAACATCTGTTATTTAAAAAATGTTTAAACCACTCCCACTTTCAGATCTATGGGAGAAGGGAGAACTTTTGGGCTAAAGCTTCCATTTAAAACGGAAAAATATGTTGTTGTTTTTATCATTAGTCCATATTTGTTTATTTGAGTAATATAAGAATACTACTTGTATAATGATATACAACTACTAAATGTATCAAGTATCAAGAAAATATGTACGAAATTTATCTTTAAGAGCATTATTTTTTTCTTGTAATTATTTTTTTCGTTGTTATCATTTTTTGGCCTTCAGGACTACATAAACATTATTTCATATAAATATTTTTTTTACTTTTCTTCAAGAGTAATTACAGTCATAATAAATATATAAAATTAAACAAAAATCCCCAAGATTAAATTCTGGATCCGCTAATGCATAACTGTATAGTAAAAAAAACAGTAACCTACACTCAAAGGCATAGATTGACATAATGAGGAATGTATAAATGGTTAGTAAAAATGAAATACATCTCAAACAAAAGAAAATCTTTTAATATCCACAGAAAAATAAATACCTACTTGTGCTCTGAGAAAAACCTTAAAACGGATTTACTTTAGGACAAGGGAGACTAGAGTTTATTTTGAATATGAAATTACCTCAATGATCAATGATCATGGTTAATGAATATTATTAAATTACCCATTTCTCTCATGGTAATGAGTTATGAGTGATCACTCTGAATTATTTAGCCATGAATAAATCACTCATCACTCATTTTATCACCATGAGTAATGATAGAAAAAACTTTCGTTTAATCTAATATTTTTTTTGGAGGCTGGGTAAAAACGTTTTATACTCATCAAAATAGATTTAACAAAAAACAATATAAAATGAAAGAAAATAATTTTTTTATTATTACCCATGATGATAAACTGAGTGATGAGTGATTTACACTATAAACATTTTATTTGCGCCCGTCAACAACCAGGAAATGTCCTGGAAATACAAGGCATAAATGACATGTGAGGCATGAGAAAGAAAAGTACTCAGCAGCTTGTTTAAGGAAGGAGATCTCTCATCCAACGCCTTTTTAGTCTCTCCCTCAATTTCTGGGATGTCAGCTGTGGACATGTCTCTTATTCATATTTCTATGTCCGTTTAAATTAGTATAAAATCGTTGGTAAAGAGTCGTTATATGTTGGTCAACTGTTGGAAGATGGAGGTCAGTATATAGAGTTTTGTTAATCACGTACTACAGTGCTTTTGTTATGAGTCGTAATAATTTTGATTGGGAGGTTTGATGATTTTATAGGTGGGTCTTTTTAGCGATGCCGTATATTTGTGATGTATATTCAGTTTCTGTATCAGTTTCAGTTTTGAAGATAGAAAAAAAAAAAAAAAGAGGGTGAAGTAATTTGAGTCGTTTGTTAAGCGTCTTACATTTCATTTTTACATCCGGGCCCCATGTCATCCTTCTGTCGAAGGTGAGTCCAAGGTAAAGTACCGTGTCCGGTTGAGGAATTTGATTGTTGTCAATATAAGCTGAAGAGAAGATATTTGTTCTAAGAGTAAATGTTCTATGTTTGGATTTGTCGTGATTAAGTCGAATTTTCTATAGTTTGAACCAATCTTGTAATTTAAGTAAGTGATGCTGTAGAATTAGTGAGGCTTGTGCAGGGTCTTGATGTTTTGTAAGAATTGTTGTGTCGTCTGCGTAAGCAGCTGTCAATGTCTCATCATTAATAGGTTTATCGTTAAAGTGTATGTAACGTGAAGTAGAGGGACCAACATTGAACCTTGAGGAACTCCTGCCAAGATTGGTGAGGTTTCCGAGCCCTGCCAAACTGAGAAAAATCTATCGAAAAGAAAAGAGTGAATGATAAGATAGTACGTGTATGGCAGTATAGTATTAAGTTTAAAGATGATGTTAAAATTACATTATTTGTATATGAATAAATATTTAAAATAACTCGTGAGTGACGGGTAAAAATAGACGGTTACAGTTATTGTGAACAAAAAAAAAAAAACTGTTGAATAAATATCAAATAGTAGAGATAAAGAGGTGCATCTGCCGGCTGGGAGATATGGTCTTTTTAAGAGCACCTGGGCCCTTCAAGCAATACCTCTATCTCTCCACGCCGAAAGTACACAACAGCATTGATGATTATTGTTATCCATTCACTATTACCCAATATTAAAGTATGGTACTGCTATGATTAATTTATAAATTAATAAATAATTAATAAAGATTAAATAATAAATACTTCATCATAGCTTTCATCATAAACTATGACAAATCATATAAAACAAATCTTTTATCTCTGCTCGCTGAGAATAGATAACAACATTGATAATTATTGTTATCAATTCACTATTATCTATACAAGTATAATACGGCCGGCTCTGTTGTATGGTGCACCTTTGTTTGATCACGTTAGCTAAGCAATATTGAAAAGTTTACAATATTTCAAAAATGGAATAATCAGGAAGAATGGAATTAATCATATATTAATCTAATTACTAAATACTATTTTAATGAAACTGTTAACTGAGTTTTTTTTTCGGAAATCACATACAAATACTATCGCTAAATTAATTATTTTTTTCCTACTTACTACATATTTTTTACTTTCACTTACCTAAATATGTAATATATAGTAACTCGCCCGAAAGATAAGAACAGGCTTCTATACCTTACATTACCTTAATATAATATGGACTCTGACAATAGTATGAAGGTAAACATATGTGGTTTTCATAAATGCTATCATGGCGCCAGTTAACTTATCGGAGGCAGTGAAGACTTTATAAATAATATTTTTATTCATAATGTCTGTTACAAATAGCATCTTAAAATACAGAAATATACTATAAATATATGGTTTATATATTCCAGGTCTCTTACAAGAGTGTGACTTCAAGAATGTTACTGAAAGAGTGCTTAGTCCACTTAGTCCAGAGGAGCATGGGGGTTACATACCCAGGAATAGCAAGGGGGTGAAGGAAAGTCGGAAGAGGGATCCAAAGGAAGTTATCGATAGTTAATATTCTTAAGATGAGTTCTGTGAGAAACAGACCTTTTGCTAAAATCTGTTATTGTTCCCTAAGTCTTGATAATCGGTCTTGTTGTGTCCAGTTGATAACTATTTCTAAGCTATCAGAGATAGCTTACCATAGCTATCTAGGGATAACTTTGTCCTTTTATCCTTTGAATTATGAGAATTGTCATTACCATACATGATTCACCAATTGCCATATTTAACAATCTCAATTATTAAAATAAAATAAAATTAATATTATTATTATTATTATTATGATTTGTTACGAATTAAGTTCTTTCCGTAACTGTTAAAATAAATACGGTAAAAATCAGTGACCTACTGATTAACGAAACTTAATTTACCACGGTCTAGCTCCCTTCTGTCTCATTTATAAAGGCTGCATGACTTGATTAAATAAGCGTTATTGTTATGAGGATGAATATTTTTTTTTATGTTATAAGACGTATCTCGAGTTATCTGATGAAGAATGGGTAGAATACTGATAGCGGGGAAAATCCACCTGTTCGTTATCTTGGAACGTGATATAGCGGGCTAAATTGGATTGGGAGCCCAGATAAAGGGGATTCCGTAATGAGATGTAAAGGTGAAAATTCATCCCCTGCGCAAGGTGTTGCGCAAGATAATTAAGGGGGTTGTAATAAAAAAAAAAGGGGGTGCATATATATGAGCCGGAAGCGTGCTTCCTGTCGTGTCCATCCCTTGTAAGTTGGCCATTAGGGGCGGGCACCTTGTACCCCAAGCTGTTTCTTCATCTATAATTCCTCTATTAGTGGATTTCGGTCGTTTGTCTTCATATTACCTGACAGCGGGATGGCTATCCTTTTTTTTTTTTTTCTTTTAAAAAGTTATATCTAGTAGCTTTGGAGATGTACCTTCACAGAAACAATTGCCTAAAACATAAAGTTAAATATAGTTGTCAGTCCCAACCCTAGTTTAATTGTAGGTAAACTTAGTGAAGTGTAAAAACTCATCTATACCCAACAGCTTTCTGCTTGAATCGTAAAATAATTTTACATCATAAAATCAAGAAAAAAAAAAGGACAAAAATATTGGACCGCTTGGTCTATATAACCTTGTTATTTTGATATATTGGGAGTGGAGGTCATGCCAAACGGCCCAATATTTTTGTATGCCACCATTTTTTTTCTCCATTTCCTGATCAAATTATCTTAATACCCTAATTGAAAATGCCCCATTTCCGAAAATTTTCTTTAAAAAAAAGTTGTAGGTTACGATTAAATGAAGCTATGCGATGAATATAAACGTCATATGAGCCAATTCTTTTAAATGAAAAGTTTAGATGTTTATTGCCTGCATTCAAAAGGCTCGATAAGATTCGTTGACATTTTGAAATTTCAATGCGACGGGAAAGGAGGCAATAATTGTGGATTTCATGATCAGGCTTGAAACGAATGATCAAGATCAAGACTTCAAGATACAGGCAGAGAAAGAGCATATATTACTTAAAGGTACAGAGATAAATTTGACGAGAGAAACTTGTCAGTCAAAGTACTATGTTTCGGAAGTAGGGGAACAATCCCTCTTGCTACAAGTAATTTCTTGCAGAACATTAATGTTATCAATAAAAAAATCTGGTGCTCGCATCACACAACTTTCACTAACTTTACTACTTTGAATAGGAATTGTTTTCTGGCAAAGTTAGGCTATCACATTCGGTTACAACTATCTTTCTTGGCAAAGCCTTTAGTGTATTTTCAAGTTATTTTATTAATTTGGTTGGACATCATTATGTTTTTGTCAATAAAACATCTAAATGTATCTGATCTGTAGCGTTTTTCTAATGTCTAAATTAACATGTTTAATAAATAGCAATGAACTAATAAGTACCTGCAAGACTCTTACGTGACTCTTAAGACCAAGACCAAGGTTTGTTGAGGCAAGAACAAGATTAAGACTGACTCAGTCTCGTCTTAGTCTTGCATTTGGGCAACACTATGTGAGGAAAATAGCACTCAACGGCTAAAGGGTATGGTAACAATCGAGGTTGAATGTTTCCATGAGTATCCAAGGAACTAAAACCAAATATTGTTTCTGCCAAATCCTGAAACCTGAGTCCATGAGTCAAGAGACTAGGTCTTATCCAACTTCTTTATAATATTCTTCTTCGTTCTTCCCTGTAGATGGTAATGTCTAGAAGTAAAAAAATAAAATTAGTAGAATCCTTATATCCCCAGACTTATCATCTAATTATAATAATATCATGAATCTATAACAATAATAATAGCAGGAATCTATCAAACATTTAACCAATGGCTGCGATACCTTGGCAGGGATGGAATACTTCATGAGGCAAGTGAACAAACAAAAACTGAAGATTACTCAAATAATCATATCTTCTAATGGTTTAATATTGAAAAGGCTACCCATGAACTGATGATTTGATTTGGCGCATTTAAATGAAGTCCTGCTCGATACGTGCAGGATTGTTAGAGAATTTCTAAATAACTAATTTTTTTTCACGTTCATCTAGATTCCCTTGGATGTTTTTCCATGATGTGGATGCTATTCCAGAAATCTGAGAAAGATAAACAAATAATATAAGCTTTATTATATATCCTTAATAGAACATAAAGTCTCTCTCTATAAATGGAGGTAAGAGTCTGGTTTTAACAAAAAAATATATATATAAATTACAATTTATTCCTTCAGAATTATTCAAACTTATCAAAATATAATTAAATTTATAAAGCACAATTAACAGCTGTTAATTTAATTGGTATTCACTATTTTATTTCAAATATCTCTATTTCTTGCCACTGTTCCCCATCCGTCGTCCGCTCACTGCACTATTTTTTCTCTCCATCTTGTGAAAGGTCTTGTTATTCCTTGGAAATTTTCGACAACCTTCCTGGTTCCAATTTGGCTACATGACCAGCTCATATCCATTTCAATAAGACAGCTTCTTTTGCTAGGTTTTTAAGTTCCGCCATTAAACTCTTCTCTTGCTGATCCTATCTTTTCTCTTAATTCCTACCATACTTCGGGAGGATTAAGTTGTGTCCTGTTGAGTTTCTCGTAGTTTTTCCGGTTACTTATTATCTAATACTTTGTAATTCGTGCTTTTAATTGTATCGTATATTATCTATTCCTCCACGGACAGAGATGACGCCGACGAGGAAGGTCCAGGAAGAGCGAGGATATTAGAGAGGATGTTCCGTGCAGGCGAACACCACGTGCTGAGGAGGTCTTGCTCCGTTGACCGCCTCTTCCTGGCCTCCACCTGCCGCCGCACAATTAGTTACGAATCATCAACACGCTATTTTTTATTCCTTACTTCTTTTGTTCTTCCCCTTTTTGACTTCTTCCTCTCGGTCTTATTATTCTAATTTAATTTGTCTTTGAACCCTGACCTACCCCAATCCTGTCCAACAGTAGCCTCTGAAACTAAAAACTGTTATTTCCTTTCCGTACCACCCCCCGATGCTATCTTACTTCCTACCCTCATGAAGAATGGGACCACTTTTTGAAAAGCATTATTGAATTCTATGTTTTGATTTATACTGTACCATGATTTTACCTCCTTACTCTCCTAGTCTGTATTTACCATCTCTTTGGAAAAAAAAATAATTAAAAATGAGACTTGCAATAATCAGAATTTCTATTTAAAATTTATGTTTAGGATCTACATAAAATAAAAATATCTGGTGCGCGCATCACACGACTTTCACTTACCACTCTCTTTAGCAGAAATAAATATTTTCTTATTAGACATGGAAGTGAAAATAAAATAGACACTATATATTTATTTATATTACATTGTGGGTATTTTCACTTGTTACCCTTATACACTGACAGGCAAAAAATTCCACCCACTTGATTTTTTCATGTTTTCATCTAAAAATATTTCTGCTTTGGATTGGTCTATTGTTTTCAATGAATAAATAGGTAATCTTTTTGTATTTTTCAATTAGGAATATTAATATAGAGGACAATAACCCTTAATCCTTAATTCAATGTAATGATTCTAGATTCCAATGTTTACTTTCTATGGAATCAAAATGTTTATTCAGTATCATTAGTTTAGTGCCGTTTCTTGCAGTAAATATATTTAAGGTTATAAACAGATGTTTTGCACACCCATGAAATATTTTTATATTTCACTTCTTCTTTCACACAAGCGCAATCAAATAGCGTTTTAAACAGTGCCATTACCTTGATTCGTTGGATTTTATATACCTTTTTTTTTCAAACTTAAAAATAATTTTAAAAGTTTACATTTAATTCGGAAACTTCATTTATTTTTTCTGAAACATGTTATTGACTTTGAATAATATTAGTTTTCAGTAATTATTATTTATATTTTTTTTTTCTAAAATTCTCCGCTTTCCAACGATATACTATACTTAGACCTTCTGACTATTATTTCCGGAGATTCATTTTCGACCTAAATAAGTATTTTTCCTTTTTTTCTCTATTATTCAACTAAACAATTTTTTCAAAAGTAATATTCAGCCTTTTTTAATTACTGCAAACAATGAAAGATAGTTAATTATCTAAAATAAACTAAATGAAAGGTATTTTTGAGGAAGAAATTTTGAACATTGGGCATTCAGGCCCTGTTAAGCGACATCAATGGGAATGAGACCTAAATATTATTAAAGATTACTTAATTATACATTGATACACTTATTTTAATCAGAATCGTTAGATCCGTTCATGAGAAAATTAGTAAAAATTAGTAAAATCGCTGATATAAAGTGGCACTTCGTCAGCTTTGACGAAAAAGTTGATGTTATATCCCAGGCATATACTTCACTTAAATATTCATTTTCAGTTTCGCGTGGTTTTTCGTTTTTAAGGTAGATTGTTCACACAGACCATTTAGAGGGATTTGGTTATTTGGACTCAAAACTTATAATTCTGTTAAAAAATTTCACGATCAATACTCAATACTCAATAGCAATACTCTTTCTTACTATATATTACATACATAGGTAAATTAAAGCAAAACAAAAAAAAAAAAAAAAATATATATATATATATATATATATATATATATATATATAGAGAGAGAGAGAGAGAGAGAGAGAGAGAGAGAGAGAGAGAGAGAGAGAGAGAGCGTGAGAGAGTTCGAAAGTGGACTATTTTTAGCAATTTTTGTTTTTTTGAAAAATATTACAATCTTTATCATTTTGAATTAAACTAGATTCAGAACTCTCACAATATATTGTATTTGAATACTAAAAGTTGTTCACTGACCAATGTACTAATGTTTTCAATATAAACTCAGAAGGTTAGGAAAAAACAAAACATTAGTCTCAACGTAGTGCCACGAGAGGTCGTCCTATGGCTGCCATGAAATTTTCGAGATATATAAATTAAAATGTGGAATATATTTACTATTTCATATATTTTTATGAATGAAATATTTGTTACATAGAACAAAATTGATATCATATTACAAAAATGAGTTTCTCGATATAAATAAATTTAGTAAATTAATTTTCGTTCTTCATTTTTTTTTCTCCCATGATGGTATCATATGTCAAATGAATAATCATTACCGAACAGATGTTATTTAGATAAAACATACTTTTTAGTTCATTAACAAAAATATATTGAAAAAAAAAATGTGAAATTTGCTGTTCTTAAAATTTTATTATTTTTTTTTTTTTTACAAATCTTTAAAGTACCTCGAAAATGGTCGAGTTAGACGAATTAATAGGGATTTGTGGTACCTGCGGAGGCATCAAGAAGAAGAAGAAGGACCGCCAACAATGCGGCGAGGAGAAGAAGAAGAGGGCTCAGAGCAATTCTTGCGTGAGGAGGAAGAAGAGGTCTGTGTCAAAGAGCAGTTCTTGCGTTAGAAAGAAGGTCAAGAAGAACAAGGAATGTAGGAGCGAGAAGAAGCCGCGTTGCAGGGTGGTACCGAAAAGACGGAAGAGGGATCCTTGCAAGAAGATAAGTAGGTGTACCACGGCTTCATCCACCATCTACTTCAGCCCTTAGGTATATCATTTTGTCCTTGAGTTTTGTCCAACCAATAAAAAACAAATTAAGTATTATTATTTTTTTATATATATATAATTTTAATCTATTATATTTTTTTTATTTGAAAAAAGTCTCTGTCCCATTTTTCCAGTTCTAAATTTTAAAAAAGAGCAATTTGAAATGGTTTGCAAAGACATTACATGCAAAGACCGTTTTTGAGAGAATGGTATAAACGTGTAAAATCAATAATATAAAACGACACTTCCGGTAAGTTGATTTTAGTGAAAAAGTTGCAGTAACATATATATTTAACTTAAATACTTAATTTCATTTTCTTGCCTCTTTTAGTTTTTGAGCTCGGTAGTCAGTTCACATATAAACACAACACAGTCTTATTTGCCAGATCTTAAAACATATTTTTCAGTTGAAAAGTAATATTCGAAATTTCACCATCGCAATGGTTTTTTTATCACTATCTATTTTATAACTTTAAGTAAGAAAATCAATTTCTCTTAAAGCGTTAGTATGACATACGTTTTATTTTATAAATATTTTACAATTGTTTACATAATGTGGGTGTAATTTAGTGTACAAAATCGGTTTTCTCTATTCAAGACAGCCTTATTTAAACTATCATTATAGTTTAAACAGACTTCATTAGAACTATTTTGACTATGAATAACTGACCAGAGATGGGCAGCGTAGATAATTTCTTTACTGGAAGTGGCAATTTCTTTTTCTGGAATGTCTTTTCATGTCATTGATTTTACACGTTTTTACAATTCTATCAAAAACGGCACTGACGATTTTGATTCAACTTGTTTCATCAAATATAAAATTGAATAGTTTTTAATATCAATTAGGTCTTATTCTCGTTGAAATAGTCTGTCAGGTCATAAATGCCAAATTTACAAAATGTTTTTCTCGAAAATAAATGCATTAAATTTTAAGATGTACGTGTATATTATACTGTATGTAAAATGGAGGATCAGAATTAAAAAAATACATTTAATTTAGTTTATTAGAATTAATTATAGTTCTTTTATTGCTGGCAGTGATGCAAAATGGATGAATATGAACTATGTTTATTATTTTAAAATTAAAAATAGAAAAAAATGGAAATTATATTTTGAATATTTAATAGCTGACCGTTGCGTTCTAAAGGAAGGAAATGATCCGGAGTGGCGGTCATAAATAGGCTAAATAGTGGAAAAAACTATTTTATTAAAAGCCAACCTTTCGACCCGACTTTGCAGGTCTTCTCCAGGGAGGTGTGGTCAGCTAGGAGTTTCACATAGAACTGTTTTTAAGCCTGTCAAAATATAATTTTGACAGGCTTAAAAGAAATTTCCGGAAACAACGGCTGTAATATATACGTATGATATATTATTGAAAAACAATTAATTTTAGAAAAATGAATATTGTCATAAGGTAATGAAGAATGACAAAAAGCTAATGACTTTTGTGTTGATTAATAATAATTACTCTTATAAAATTGGATGTGAAATAAACGTTTCCAAAGAAATGGAAATTATATACAAGATATATGGGAAACAATTTTATTTTTTTCAACTATACAATCCTAATATATTTTGAGCACATAATTGCCATAATTTATATTAAATGTTTGTATTTATAAATAAGTAATATTCTCAATGTCCGTTAGCCTCTTAAAAAAATTATTAATATTAAAAATAGGGTAGTAAGTGAAAGATCTGTGATGCACTACACTAAAATATTTTTATTATTAGAAATTTAAAAACAATAAAAATATTTACAACTCGCCTGAATCCTGACAATACAGAACTCCCATTCTGCCTTTGATTATGAAACGATTGCCAGGGTTTGGTCGCCCTAGATATAAATTAAAGAGTGGAGTAGATATCTTCAGTTACATTTACCTGTTTAATTTTTAATAAAAACAATTCCTAATTGTAACTAATTCCTAATAAACCAATAATAACAATTGATAAAATAACGAAGTTGATCAGGTTACCAACATTGTTTAATCAATCAAGACATCGAAATACACTGGATAAATATGAAGGAAGAAGGTGTTAAGGAGTGTTGCAGATCAAGACACGATTCTGGAGTATTCTGGTGGATTTTTTCCTAAACTAAATGTAACTTAGCAGCTAAGAATATAGTTTTAGAGGATAACAGGTCGTCGTGACCATTTTGAAATTTTTAAAACAATATTTGTCTTGTTCCGATCCATCTAATTTTGAAACTATCTCAGATATGAAGCATATAATTCCTTTCAAAGACTTCTATTGTAATTATGGTAATCATTTAAGTTTTTAAATTGAAATCCATCATTTCTCCATGAAATTACTTTTAGCTTGAAATCTTATTCTTCGAAATCCATTAGTGCTGAGATCCGGAAAAGGGGTTTACGTTAACGTATCGAGCTTTACTGAACCATCGAATTCCTCTCGTATCCAATCCTTACAATTTAAAATCCTTCGTAAAATCCTCAATGCTCCCTACATTGTCAGAAATAATATTTATATATTTTAAATAATCGAAATAATAATACTTATATTTTAGGTATTCTTTATTGTAATAGGTCATCTGGCCAGATTTATTGTTAGTCGGTATGAACAATATTGTTATTCTTAAGGGACCTAGTCCCAGAATAAAGATGATTTTCTTTTTCTATTCCTACAAACCAAATAGTCGATTAAAATTGCCTGGAGATATCCCATATCTTTCCAATTTAATCCCAGACCAAGAGTGATCCTGAGGTTGCAACTTAGCTTGAGTTTCTTTCAAGGTAGGATTCATATAGCTGGGTATTGTTGAGTCACATTTTGAAATAGAAGGAGGAAATTGCAGTATATTGCTAGGATTTGGGAATAAAGAGTGATTTATATTGAATATTTAATAGTTCACTGTTGCATTATAAAGGAAGGAGATAGATGGCCCTGGTGGCGGTTATAAACAGGCTAAATAGTGGCAAAACTATTTTATTAAAAGCCAAAGTTTTGACCCGGCTTTGCTGGTCTTCTTCAGGGCTAGAACGGACAAGATACAAAAAAATATAGAGAATCGTGAAAGTTACATAGTATTAAAAAAAAAAAATTATAAACAATGTGAATAAGCTTATTAAAATTATAAACAGTAAGTACATTAAAATATAAACAGAGTAAGCTAAGTAACAAGAACCTAAAATGAATTAAATAGATGGTAACAATTGTTATAGTGTAATATATAATATATGCAAATGTCAATATACTTCTACAGATCAACGGGAGAGATTGAAAAAGAAGGATAAAGGAAATAATAGACATATAGTAATGTGGAGAAAGAAAAGAAAACCAAAAATAAATAAATAAGTATATAAAATTAAATCAATTAAAATTGTCTGGAGACATCCCATATCTTTCCAATTTAATCCCTCACCAAGAGTGCTCATGGGGTTGCAACTTAGCTTGAGTTTTCAAATAATTGTGTATTTTTGCTTGAATGCTTATAATTTTTTTAAAGAGATAGCAAAGCGTGTGAGAGCGACGAGGTGATCCTGACCGAAGGTATGCCTGGGTTCCCACGGTGGCAGGGAAGCGGATTCGGGCGAACTGTATAGAGACAAAGCCTTGACTCATCCTAGAACAATGACAACTCTCCGCTGAATGGAATCACTTAAGCCGCGATGACCCCCTTCAGCTGCCGTCCCTCCAGCCACACTGGAGGATGATCAGTACAACATTTGTTTCCTCCTAGATCGTCCCTCCCCAAGAACAAAAGGCTCATGGGGATAATGGTTCCGAATGACCAATGATATAATGAAGCTTATCCCTAATGGTCGGCAGGAAGCTACCAACATATGTCTCTCAACCGAGTGTTAAATCCTGATGAATGTTTCTCTTGTATAACGTATTAGCTAACATATTGATTTTTTGAAGAATGGAATAATTACTGAAAATGGATTTGAGGATATTAATTGTTCGGAAGAAACACACTGAACATTGAATATGATATTGGAACTATATTCAGCTGGTTCCTGAGGTAATTCATCAATTCCTTCTTCGTCACTGTTTGGAAATTGAGTGCAAAATCAATCGGACAACTTTTTTTTTTTTTAATTTCTTTATTGAGTATTACAACAATCTGTCTCTTGGACATTGGTGATAGTGAGGTAGGATGACATTCACACTATATGTACAACAAAAAATAAATAAATAAATAGAAACAAAATAATAATCAAAAGTATATACAATAGATAATAAAATAAAATAACCTAAAAAATAAGAAAATTAAAACTAAGCAAAAACACATGCATACCTATATATAATCAGGCGAGGGAACTCCAGGAGAACCCTGCGCTACTCCCTCAACCGCGTCACTGGTACTAAAGCCAGCGGAGATTGATCGAGAGCACTTTAGCCACATACACTCATGTCTTGAGTGAAGAATCTGGCCATTGCCAGAACTCCAATATATGCAATCTACAAAAGGTCACGAGACCACTGCCGTTTCAACCTTCTTGGAGGATTATAGGGATGGGAGGTGCTTGATAGGGATTGTGCAAGAGGATTTGGGTGGTACGTAAGGTTCTGGTAAAATTTGGAGAATTTTTCTTGGATAAGGTCTAGAACGAATGGGATGTTGAGGTCATGATGTAGGGCTTTGTTGTTTACATAGAAAGGAGCATCGACAATTGTTCGAAGGACTTTTGACTGGAAGGATTGGATGCGCTTGATGTTAGAAAATTTTGTTGATCCCCACAGTTCTAATCCGTAAGTCCAAATAGGTTTCAGTATTGTCTTGTAGATCAGTAGCTTGTTTTCAATGGAAAGTTTACATTTTCTGTTTAGTAGTCGGTATAGTTGGCCGTATCGTCGGTTGAGTTCTTGTCAGACAACTAAGATTCTTTCTTAAAAAAATATTTAAATTACCAAAATATACTCCAACACCCTTTATTCACTTTGAGACTAAAATAGATCCATTATTTATCTTCACAATTAAACTCCATTTTGATTATATTATAAAAATTTTAATATAAAAATTAGCACTACAGATAATTAAAAAAGAAATCGCATGGTTTAGGGACTTACTTAATCTGATTGAACT